CCAACTTTTAATCCGTTAACCATCCCAAACTTACCCGAGGCCCTCGGGACCTCAACCAAATATACCAACAAGTCCTAAAATATCATACGAACTTAGTCGAACCTCTAAATCACATCAAACAACGCTAAAACCATGAATCATACCCCAATTCAAGCTTAATGAAACTAAGAATTTTTAACTTCTACATTCGATGTCGGAACCTATCAAATCAACTCTGATTGACCTCAAATTTTACACACAAGTAATAAATTACATAACGGAACTATAAAAATTTTTGGAACTGGATTCCGACCCCGGTATCAAAAAGTCAACTCATCTTCCAAACTTATATTCTTGTTTTTAGCCATTTCAAACCTAATTTAACTACAGACTTCCAAATAAAATTTCGAACATGCTCCTAAGTCCAAAATTACCATACGGAGTTGTTGGAATCATTAAAATTCTATTCTGGGGTCATTTTTTCAAAATGTTGAACGAAGTTAAACTTAGCACTTTAAGGCCAACTTAAGGAACCAAGTGTTCCGATTTTACCCAAACACTTCCAAATCCTGAACCAACCATCCCCGCAAGTCATAAATTATTACAAGCACCTACGGAAAGTTTTATTTTAGGGAACGGGGTTCTAAAAGTTAAAATGACCGGTTGGATCATTACACCTTGGGCCTTTTTGAATGACTTGAGTGTAATTTTAAATACGATCAAATTGATTATTCAATCCCCTGTTTTCACTTGCTTCACTATTCATAAATTCAATTATACCTATAAAACAAATACACATAAAAGAGGATAATGTAGAAGTTAAAAGGGTTAGAATTTGAAAATGGTATCACTAGTGGAACATTTACATAATGATTATTACTTCCTAGCTTAATTATCTTGTAATGTATCTCTTATGATATTAATATAGGGAAAAGATCCAAAATTATTCCTCTACTATGGTATATAGTTTAAGTTTGTCCCTCGTTATACTTTTCGTTCAGATCCACCCCTACTGTTAATAAACTTTCTAGAATTGCCCTTAACCCTAACAGATCTACACCGTGGCAGCTGACCCCCTCAATTTTTTTCATGTCAGCTGCCAAGTCACTCGACCCCCTCCCCTGTTGCCACTTCACGTTACTCATCTCTAATCTCATGTAACAATTTATCTCACCTCCACTTATCTGAACCCCTCACTTTCTCTCCCTTTCCATCGTCAACCCCTTTCTTCTTAATCTACATAAATTGACAGTAAAATCATAACAAAACACACTTCTAAGGAATCCAACAAAGTTCTATCATAACAGAAAGATACCAACTTGGTATTTAAGTAAAATCTTATAGATGAAACATGGGAAGTGGGTTGGGATTTTCTTGTTGGTAAGCGGCGACATTCACTGGTGGTCACTGGATGTTTCAATTTTTTCGTTGGTCAAGAATGGGGCTATTGGCTATGACGATTTGTCTAGGGATGTCGCTACTAGAATATTCTGGCGGTGGATTTCGGCATCGGCTCAATTTTAGATTGTGGCGGATGGTTATAAGCTTACATGGTGCTTTAATGGTGATTTTGAGGTTTTGTTTGTTCTTTTTATTGGCTGGTTCATATTTACTTTATCACCATTAAAATTTTTCTGTTCATGAGAGTTTTCTAGTGAGGTGTAGCGATGTGGAGTGGGTTTAAGGAGAAAGAAAAAATATGGGGTGGAGAAGATTCCTGAAATTTTAAAATAAATTTTTTTTTTCATATTTCAAAGTGGGGGAAATGGCTAATGGCTAAAACCTCATGGGCGAATGAGGATAATCTTTATATTATGGAGAGCGAGAAACGGATGATATTCTTTGGTGGTTGAAAATGGATGTTACTTTAATGGTGAATTTATTTTGGATTGAAAGAGGAAGATGAAGGTCATGGAGTCTAGTGTGTGATGATGATGTTAATTTTAACGTGGGACCTGGGATCTGAACCAAAGGCGAATTTATGTGGAGGGGGTGGGGTACATGCACCCATGCTCCCCTCCCTAGGCTATGTATATACAGTACAAAATTTTCAGTTATATACATAAATATATTGGTGATCACCCATGCTCAATTGAATACTTTGGTGCAATGGTGATTGAGTGCCCCTTTTGTCTCTGGTCTAGAGTTCGAATCCCATCCCTACATACTTCTTTTTAATTAAATTTTTCTATTTTATTTCTTTTCTAAAGTTGCTTTTGACTTTTAACTTAAAGTTTCTAATTTTGTTCTTTCCTGAAATTCCTCTTGATTAAAAACATCTAACAAATCCCTAAAACACTAAGACCCCACCCTACGTCCCTTTTTACTATTTTTTTCTTTTCCTTTTCTCTTAGTCAAATTTTTAAATCTCTAAAATAAATTAGATGCAACTACTCTTTTTTCTATTTTATTTCTTTTCTAAAGTTGCTTTTGACTTTTAACTTAAAATTTCTAATTTTTTTCTTTCTTGAAATTTCTTTTGACTAAAAACATCTAACAAATCCCTAAAACACTAAGACCCCACCCTACGTCCCTTTTTACTATTTTTTTCTTTCCCTTTTCTCTTAGTCAAATTTTTAAATCTCTAAAATAAATTAGATGCAACTACTCTTTTTTCTATTTTATTTCTTTTCTAAAGTTGCTTTTGACTTTTAACTTAAAATTTCTAATTTTTTTCTTTCCTGAAATTTCTTTTGACTAAAAACATCTAACAAATCCCTAAAACACTAAGATCCCATCCCACGTCCCTTTTTACTATTTTTTTTCTTTCCCCTTTCTCTTAGTCAAATTTTTAAATCTTTAAAATAAATTAGATGCAACTACTCCCTCTCTCTTCGAATACCCCATCTCTCTTCGCCCTCGGTCGATACTTCAAGAATCAATAGCACAGTTTCTTCTCATTGGTCTCTGCTTTTAGCTTCTCAAGTATGCAACTACCATGTCTCTCTTTTTGCTCTGTATTTTAATTTACTCGCTGGAGTTTCTTCTCCTCTTGCAATTTTTTGAATTCTCTTTTCCCTTTCTGTTCAATGTTTGAATCTCTTGCCAAGATTTTGTCTTGTTGTTGGTTATTATTATTGTTTATTTCTAAGATTGAGTTATTGAATACTATTTCTTGGGAGAATTTGGAAGAGTTGTGGCTTTAAAGTCTTGAATATTGACAGTATTGATTTGCGCACATATTGTGTTTGAGAAAATGCTTGATCGAGTTTAGTTAAGTATGGGCTATGTGAACTTAATTTTTGACTAATTATTAGTATTTTGGGTCAAGATAACATAAGATCGATCTGCTAAGAACTAGAGTTTGAACTTCTGCTAAGAATTCTCTAAAAATGAAGTAATTACTAGCAATCAAAGAAAAAATCATACTATGAAGCCAATGAATGATAAAACTGATCTAATATAGTAATCGATTCATTTGTGTCCCTTAAATCCAATTACTCTATGATTTGAATCATACTATTCTACTTGAATCAAGATAGATTGAATAAAAGTATAAATGTTTAACTTTGTAGGAACGATAATCCTTAATATTGAAATAGACAGATATCTCACCAAGCCGAAAAATGGTGAACCAGGTTCTAGTACTATTCGGTCATCCGTGAGTTCACAAATAGCTCCAGAAGTTCAAAGGATGACTATCCTTCACTGCTTTCAAATAGTGCACCCATAATCTTAAAATCCTGAATACGCCTCCGATTTGAACGAAAAGTATAACGGGGGACAAACTTAAACTATATACCATAGTAGATGGACAATTTTGGACCTTTTCCCATTAATATATTATCATTCTTTTTACTGATCATACTGACCATAGGCATCTGATCATCTTGTAGGTTGTAGTAGCTCTTTGATGAGTTAAAACACTTGTACTCAATCGCAAAACTATTTTCTCTCTCTTCAAATACAAGAAATTTAGGATCTTAGGCCAAACATATTATGAGCAAAGAAAGTCTGCATCTTGGTTCGATTTATCGCCGTCATGGTTGTCTTTTGTTCATTCTTGGTCTAATTAGACCTCTAAAGTTGAAAAAAAAAATATTAGACTTCTAAACCCCCTCTTAATTACGTGAAAAATAAAAGTAGGGAAAAGAACTAAAAAAGGAAAAGAAAAGAAAAGAAAAGCTAGAGGAAAGGAAATCCTGAAAGTGGAGCGAAGAGCCGAAGACAGGTCCGTTATAAATGAAAGGAAAAAATGAGATATACCTCTCAACTTTCGGATATTGTTTACATTTATTTTCCGTTATATTATTCAGCCAAATTTACCCATATCATTATACTATCCAGCAAATTTACCCCTACCATTAGCAAACTTTTAAAAATTACTTATAAGTTCGTCTGGCGACCTAGAATCTCCCAATCACTTATTCTTCTTCTTGATCTACTATTTTTGAAATAATTAGCATTTACCCGATTTCTTAATTGAAAAAAAAAATAAGAGAAAGAAATATTAAAATAATACAATGGTATAAACAAAGCATAGTAAACTGAAAAATCTAAATTAGGTAGCTTGTCTAAATTCCAAAAGTGTTTACAACATTTCAATTTTAATAAAATTATTGCACCAAAGGTATGGAGACTTTGCAAGTATTAGTGATAACTTTTCGTTGTCGAATTCAACTTTGAGTTAATCAAATACCGACGCATTGTGCACTTTTAAGTTAGTCTATCGAACTTTATACTAACCAAACAATAATAAAATATATTCGAATATAAATATACATACATGATGATCAGCTGCATATAATATACAATAAATTGACCCACTAAATTCTACAGTGTGATTGAAAATAAATAAAATTTTCAACCAATTTCAAATTCATTATCACAAGAAGAAAAGTAGGTGCATTGGTAATTAAAAATATTCATGAATAATTTGTATAGTCTAGTTACTTTAGCATTTATATAAATAGTAATTTTTACTAATGACTAGGGTAAATTTAGCCGAATAATATAATGATAAATGTAAATTTGATGAAGAATAAACTTACATAATATCTGAGAGTAAAAAGTATATATTTGGCCCTTCTCACTAAATGAAAAGAAGAAAGCGACCTGACTGCAGGCTAAAGGTTCCATTGTCTGCGTCTATTAAGAGTCAATACCTACGAGATACGCATTTTTATTCCTTCCCGCTCCGACATATTCACAAACAGTTGGCGTACGGTTCCTGTGAGTTGTGTGTGTAACTGTAACCCCCTCCGTTTTCCGAACAATACCTCCGCCGAAACCCTAATACAACAAAGTAACCAAGAAGAAGACCACAATAATGAAGTACGTTTTGGTAACTGGCGGTGTAGTGAGTGGTCTTGGCAAGGGCGTTACAGCAAGTAGCATCGGCGTTGTCCTCAAAGCATGTGGCCTTCGTGTTACCTCTATCAAAATTGGTTTGTTTTACTATCCTTTTTTGTCTCAACAAAGTCTAGGCATATGGCCCTGTTTTCCTTTTAGTTTAGCCACTTTTGCTCTTCAACTGTTTTGTTTTCTGTTTTGGTTTCGCTTTAGTTCATGGATAGATATGTATCATTATGATACTGAAAGGACTACCATTAGTCCATTACTGGAATCAAACAAATAACGATTCATACAAGCTAGTTCTTCTAATTGATAATTTAGCCTAAAAAAGAACTTAAATTTTAATTCATTGATTTTTCTTTTAATTAAGAGGCTTGCTTTGGAACGTGGTATTTATACTGAATATTTTTATGAACTAGTTTTATCAATTCCAATAGAATAATCTAAATTTGAACTTGATTCAGATATAGGATCCAAAAAGATGGCAGGAACGCTTTTTTTATCTTCTCCTCACAAAGGCAGTAATTTCAGCGCAAAAGAAAAACTAGGATAATCCTACAAGTATAGGATAAACTAGGAGGATAGAATTTTGACATAATTTTTAATCATAAATTGTTGACAACAATTTATGTGTTGGTTAAAATGATATGGAGTAAGAGTAAAGGAAAATGATGCTGCCCATAAAGAGGGAAATCATTTTTCTCCTTTTTTGTGGAAAATATTTTATTGGCTGCAATATTTGTCAGAATTCAAGGTATCCTAACGCTGGGAAATGTTTTATTGAGGAAATTATTTTCCTCGAAAACATTTTCTGTCATACCACACTTTTGAATGTTGATTGAAGCAAGTGATATGGAGTAGAAATTGGGATATTTGGAAAAGAAAATGAAAGAAGCATTTCTCTCTTTTGTTTAGAAATGTTATTATTGGAACAATATTTTCCTCAACTCAGGGTAACTGAACATGGGAAACTAATTTCACCCAGAAAATTGTATTCTCGGGAAACATTCTTCGTCACGCAAAATCCACCATTAATTTCCCCATTATTACTTTCCTGCTTAGCTGATTTGATTGGCCGCGGTGAAGAATTAACTCTTGTTATGGAGTATGTGAATGCGTCAGTACTCAATATCCACATTGTGTTCATATGCATAGGTATTTAGGATTAAAATTTTACAAATGATAGAAAAAAGTCAACTGTATTGCATCTTGCACACCGATAAGTGTATGTTATCTGTTGGAAATCAAATTGGAAAGTTGAATAGACTTCTTGTCTTGTTTATCATTTGCTTTTACCTCTGAATCTTCATTTGATGTGTGATGCTTGAATGCCAGTATGATTATTCATGCGTTTTCTTAGTTCTGTTGTTCTGCTGATGGATCTTGAATTGAGAACTTTTGTCTCTCTCAAGTACACTATGACATTTTCATCTTTGCAGATCCATATTTGAACACTGATGCTGGCACCATGTCCCCTTTTGAGCATGGGGAGGTTTTTGTGCTTGATGATGGTGGAGAGGTCTTCCCTTCCTTCTCCTTGTTTACTTAGATTTTTTTTTTTAATTGTCTTTCTTAAATTTGACTCTGGTGATGATCTTCTAATAATTATTTGGCATACTGAAAATTAATTTTGTTGGATATTTTTATTGTATGCTTTACTTTTGATATGTTTTACCTTATATGGCCTGCATCATGCAGGAGAGCCAGTACACGATGGTTAACATTCTCTAATTTGATGAGTCCTCATACAATTAAAACTCGTAGAACCAATTTGTTCCACATATAAGTAAATTGTTTCCACTACATCAAGGATAGCTGATATCTTAAAGATTTACTAGTCTGGAAGTGGTAAGTATAAGACACACATACATAATGATAAACTTCAAATAATAAGAGAGAGATAGCTTATAAAGATCCTTCACCTTCAACCATTAGGTTGGAGGTCTGAGTGACCAACGGAATAAAGTGGGAAATGGCCGGTGTTCGACTCCTGGGTGGTGGGGGGTTAAGGTGGAGTCTATCATATCAAAATAAAAATAATGTGCATACTGATACACACTCACTGTTCTTTTATGAAAAAACCTAACCTTTGCATATGTACCTTATTCACAAGATAGAGTTCACAATCTTAGGCGTGGACTGTTCTATGGTACAAAATCAGGTTATCATAGATATCTAATGTTACTTATTCTCTTTTAAAATCTTAAGCTTGTGTGACAAAAACTGCATGTTATCATAGATATCTAATGTTACTTATTCTCTTTTAAAATCTTAAGCTTGTGTGACAAAAACTGCATGTTATCATAGATATCTAATGTTACTTATTCTCTTTTAAAATCTTAAGCTTGTGTGACAAAAACTGTCTTCCACCAGAAAATTGGTACTGTATTAACATACAATAAATTCTGGTCTTCCTCTGAAGCATCAAAGATTACTCTTATTCATTACAATAATAATAATAATGTGCTTTAACAGGTCGATCTGGATTTGGGAAATTATGAACGTTTTTTGGATGTGACATTGACAAGGGACAACAACATTACCACTGGAAAGATATATCAGGTTCTTATAAATAAATATATACATGTAGATATTTGTGTGTCACACATGGATCTATGCCTACCGACTGTTCAGGAATGAGATCTGTTTGACAGTCTTTTTTTCCTTTTTGGGTGGGTTACCAGTCTGTTCTGGAGAAGGAAAGGAAAGGTGATTATCTTGGAAAAACTGTTCAGGTGATTATACTTTCATCTGATATCATATATGGTGCATCACTGAAAAGAAACTTATTTACTCAGAGGAATTTCTCTCTCTCTCTCTCTCTCTCTCTCTCTCTCTCTCTCTCTCTCTCTCTGTCTGTAGGTGGTTCCCCACATCACTGATGCTATTAAGGATTGGATTGAGTCGGTATCTCTGACCCCTGTGGATGGGAAAGATGGACCTGCAGACGTTTGTGTCATTGAATTGGGGGGGACTGTAGGTAAGTGCTTCTAGAACACTGGTGCATCTAATCTACTAAAAGCCCTGCCCTTCCTGTCCTTCTGGTGCATCTAAGCTACCTGTGCATCTAGCATGTCTCTAGTAACTTCTTTCATAATTGTTTTTAGGTGATATTGAATCGATGCCCTTCATTGAGGCTTTACGGCAGTTGTATTTCTCAGTTGGTAAGTAGGATTTTGCGTTATGATGGATATGGAAAAGTCATTGGCTTGTTATTCTCTATAAGGAATGCCCTCTTATGATGTGTACTAATGTAATCGTTAGCTTCCCTTACACTAATCTCCTTTTGTAACCTTTTTATTTTTCTCAACAGGGCAAGACAACTTTTGCCTTATTCATGTCAGTCTTATACCTGTACTAGGTGTTGTCGGTGAGCAAGTAATAGTCCATAAAACATTTATGTTTGAACAATGTGAATTTTCTTTTCATGTTTTTTTTTCCATATATCCCTCATTGCGTTCTCCATGTGTCTGCAGAAAACAAAGCCTACTCAACATAGTGTGCGGGAGCTGAGAGCATTAGGTTTGACTCCCCATTTTTTGGCATGCCGGTCTGCTCAGGTATGTTGTTTTCCCCAATGATATAAATTCCTGCATTTTATATTTTGTAGAAGATGTGAGTCGGTTTATTTATGCTGGGACTTCCATTATAGTTTTGCAATAGCCTAGTCCTAGCGTGAGCTTGGAGATGTAAAGATCTCACAGTAGCCCCTCTGTTCTGGTCCTTTCCTTCCCTTTCTTTTGGCTTGTTCTCCAAAGTTGTCAAATAACGAGATGTGAACTTCATTCCAGCTTTGTGTGGCATCCTAAGAGTTGGAACCTATCTTTTAACTACTTTATCTCTCTTTATGTGGTAAACCCTTATTGTTACCTAGAGACATGAAAAACTATTACTTAACAGAAGAAAAGTTTGGAACTGTTTTAAACCTTAAATTATAGGATTTTGGTTTCTCTACTACTACATTCTGCTGATATTGTTGAAATATTTCAACTCTCTTGCAGCCTTTACTGGAGAATACAAAACAGAAGCTTTCACAGTTTTGTCACGTTGCTGTAAGTTTAACTATTGCGAGGCTTTTTGTGATTTTGCATATAGAATTGGGAGTTCCTTTTCATTTCTTCCATTTTGATCTGCTTCCCTACAGGTTGCTAACATCCTAAATATCCATGATGTTCCAAACATTTGGCATATTCCGCTCCTGCTTCGGGTGGGTCTACCAACTGCTACCTTTTGTCCTTTGACATATATTATATAAAAATATAGCTGCTAAAGTTACATATTTGTCACAGAACCAAAATGCACATGATGCCGTTCTAAAGCAATTGGATTTGCTGAGGTAATAAATTACCTCCTTTCTGTAATATAAACATTAATTTAGATTTAGAATGTGACCGTCCTCTTCCCATCTCATATTTCCTCACTATTCTACTGAAATGAAAAAATGCTTCTCAACTTGGATGAATTGGATATGCAGTTCTCTCTCTTTTATGATTTTCTAGCAGTAATTTTGCTATTTAGGCTTAGTTCTAGTAGCTGATATCTGACATGGACTACTATGAGCAAGTTAGAGCAAGGTGCTTGATGTGTCCTCTGATATTAGTGTTTTCTCTGTGTCAGTGTCGCAAAACCTGTTGATTTATGGGAATGGACGAGAAGAGCTGAGACCTTCGACAATCTTACCAAAACTGTTAGTAGGATCTACACAATGTAGGTATACTTTTAACAAATATATACATTGTAATTGAAAACTACCTTTTTCCGCAGGTTAGAATTGCGATGGTTGGGAAGTATGTTGGGTTAACAGACTCTTACTTATCTGTAGTGAAGGTAACAATATGAAACTACAAAAAACATGCACCGTCTTTATTAAGCTTACATTTTGTATTTGGGATGTGTCTTTTTCGTTTGACCATAGTCAAATTTAGCATTTGAGTTTAGCTTTGGCTTTTTTTTTTTTTAAAGCAGCTTTTCCCATTGTCCCGCTTTCTAGTTTTGAAATCTGAAGAAACATGCTTATAAGCGTTAAACTGTTAATTCCTTATCTTCACTTGCTTCTTTCCCATATTTCTGGGCCCTCCTGGATGCATTTATCGAATGTTTATATATGCTGTGGTGTTGACTAGTCTGTTTTATAATTTTTTTTCTTCATTTTTTAGGCCCTTTTGCATGCATGTATTGCATGTTCATATAAGCCATCCATTGACTGGATTGCAGCATCAGATCTTGAAGATGATAGTGCTCAATCGGTACTTATATTTCTCTCTGTTTTTGGTTAGGTGCTGTTATGAGCTTCTGATTGCAACTATCTTATCGTTTTTCTGTCAGGCCCCAGAAGCTTATGCAACAGCGTGGGAGACTCTAAGGGTAAAAGTTGATCCTTGTCTAGTAATAATAACTTGTGTCATACATCATTCTTGTTCGCTCCTTTAGTGTCAGTTCATTCTTAGACATAAATTACTAAGACTGCCTTTTCTAGTTGAAGGGAAAGTTTATTAGTCTTCAATGATGACCTCTTAACATGGCATATTATTATTTTTCTCATCTTGAGATATGAGTCATCTGTCAATGCAGTACTTTCTCTCTCTCTCTCTGTTTTCTTTCCTTTTGTGGTTGGATCATTTCTAGCATGGTTGAGTTTTCATGTGGTGGTTATGGGTTTTCAGTTTCTATATCATTTCTGCATGATTGCTCACTTGAGACGTGTTAACTATCCCACATTAGTTGAGGGAATGGACTGTTGTCTCCTTATATGGTCTTGCACAATCCTCATCTCATGAGCTAACTTTTGGGGTGTGAGGCTCAAAGTCCATTTCCTTTATATGGTATTAGAGTCGGACGTATTTCAGTTCTTGGTTTACTTATTAGGCCCCCATGTTATGTTGTCCCACGCTCCAGATGTCCAGCCTTGGCATGTGTGGTGGGGTTGGGGGTTTGGGGGGGGAAGGGTTAAGTGTCCGACATTGATTGAGAAATGGATTGTTGTTTCCTTAAATGGTTTTGGACAATCCTCAACTCACAACATATATCTTAAGTAAAGCCCAAGGTTTATCTTCTTTACAACATGCATGTGAATATGCCATTATGGTAAGACTTTTAACAGTCTAACTAACCATCTATCCCTGAATATGTTTTTCTCGTTATGGTTATCAAGATTGCAAAAATGTTTGGGCGAGTCTTATGCTGCTAAGCACCCTTTCGCATTGGTGCTTTCATCACAGAGGCTCAGCTGTTACTGTAGAACTCATTCTTTGATAGAGTACTCTATAACTCATTTTACAAGCTATTGAGATTGAAACCAACCTTTTCCAGGGTGCAGCATGTGTCTTGGTTCCTGGTGGGTTTGGTGATCGTGGTGTCAAGGGGATGATATTGGCTGCAAGGTATGCTAGGGAAAATAACGTACCGTATCTCGGGATTTGTTTAGGGATGCAGATTTCTGTAATTGAGTTTGCCAGATCTGTAAGTTGATTCTTTTAGACTGTCAAATTGGAATATCTTGTGTTTAAACCATCTCTTTTATGTGCCAGCATCTCTTTTCAATTTTGCAGGTGTTGCATATGGAAAAAGCAAACAGTGAAGAGTTTGACCCCCAGACACCGGACCTTGTTGTAATTTTTATGCCTGAGGTAGTTAGCTCTTAATAATTCAAAGAGATAACTAAATATTTGTCTCGTTTATATGTTTCTCTGGTTATGCCTTTTCTAATATCACTATTTTTATTTTGCAGGGGTCAAAAACACATATGGGAAGCACCATGAGACTTGGATCTAGGAGAACGTTGTTCCAGACTCCTGATTGTATCACGTCAAAACTGTATGGAATCTATGCATCAATGTTGACCCATTTAATTTATGTACTACTACTTTAACTAGTATCATTTATTCATCATAACAGCGCCTATCATTTATTCATCATAACAGCGCCTTGACCAGATGCTTGATCAATTAGATTTCTGTGGACTTATAGGATATAATAAGTCTAGAATTGCCAATTTCTTTGGAGCATCTCTACACCAGGAGCATAAGATGTGATTTTGTGTCAGTCTCGTTTGGGATTCGCCCCATCATAATAGTTCACCCATCTGCTTTCATTGAGATATTACTAGTTCTCTTTCACCTATCTAAGATTAGCTTAGATACAGGATGTAAAATGGGTATTTTTGGGATCTCTGCTGGCTTGTTTTTGTTTTTGCTCTCTGGTTATTGGTTGCACGTCCCTTCAATGCTTTTCTAATAAATTATTACCTGTCAAAAAAATAAATAAAAGATTTTTCTTAATTTCCAATGTGTGTTTCCTGATACATGCACAATATCGTTTCTCTTGACAGGTATCACAATTCTAAGTATGTGGATGAACGGCATCGCCATAGATATGAGGTTAACCATAGGCCTTACACTTGTTGCATGGTGATCCTTGCTGCATGAATTATGCTGTCATGCCCACTGAATAAAATGGTGGTACATATTGCAGGTCAATCCTGAAGTTGTAGGGACTTTGGAAGAAGCTGGTCTGAGATTTGTGGGAAGGGACGAAAGTGGAAAACGAATGGAGGTTTGATTTTGGACTATAGGCTTTAAATTGCTATTGACTTGGTGAAAACTATTCTTCATAATCCTTTGGTTTTAGACTCCATTATGTTCATAAGCTTAACTTCATAAGCTTTATGTTCTAGTAATTATTGGTTCACATTGTTTTAAGTTCTTCATTACTTTTCTTCTTGTTATTGCTTGTAGATTTTTCTCCATTTTTTCATCCTCTTATTCTTTGTGCAGATATTAGAGCTTCCAGGTCACCCATTTTATGTTGGTGTGCAATTTCATCCTGAATACAAGTCAAGGCCAGGGAGACCTTCAGCTCCTTTTCTAGGTAGGACTTAGATGGTTGACTTTTTTCTTTTAAATTTTATAATAAAACTGATAGTATAGCCTATAAACTTGATGCAATTTGCATGCATGTGGTGTTGCTTTTTAATGTTTCTGCAGTCATTTTCTGCGAACAGATTGTGTTAATGCAGCAGAGTCAGTATGATGTCGTTTATTTAAGATGGCAAAGTCATTATTTTGGCAGTTGCCCGTACTTTTTTTTTTTTTGCAGTAATTTGTGATCATTGTTTGTGTTAATAATGGCATCAATGTGATGTTTATCTAGATGGGCATATTCGTCATTTAGCAGTTATTTACACTGGAAGAAATCTATGTTTGCTCTTGTGTTCCTCTAGATTAACGGTTGAGCTTGTTATTGTTATTTGCTCCATATTTCTACCCTTCTAGAGACCTGGATTAATAGTACAGAAAACTTCCATTGCTTTTAGCTTGTGCAGTCTCGGAACAGGATTTTACAGATTTTGCAACTTGTTTATTGGCATGCTGTGACCATTGCCAGCAGTGGAAGAAGTACCTTACAATTGTCATTGTACTGTAGGTCTTATCATGGCAGCAACAGGACAGTTAGAAGCTTACGTCCAGACGCAGCAGAATGGAAGCATATAAGCAAAACAGCAGCAGTAACTAGTTGGGTAAATTTTTGCTCACAAGGTACATTACTGTCTTTTATTTTTATGGCCTGCTCATCGCCCACTATAGCACTCTTCTTCAACTTTTTGGAGTGTTCTTTTCTCACTTTGGTGAGCTGCCCAACACCAGCCGCGACCTGTAGTCGACAATACTTGTCCCAGGGGGTCTAAAGCTGAGTTTTGTAGATTATGCATCTATGCTTGTCATTTGAAATTTTTGTTGTTCCTTTGCAAATTTACAATTCCACCAGTTTAGCTGAGAGTACTTGTGGGGAGGGGGTTTCTGCTATACTAATGAAAGATGAAACTTATGGTATTGAGTTGGCAATTGCTTCGGTCTCTTTTCAATAATTTAATCTACTAAGTGGTTTTGATTGCAGGAAAATTGATTTTGTGGTGTGATCCGTTCCAATCCTTGTCAACTGGTCGTGAGATAAATGTTGACGTACTGCACGTCTGCTTGTGGACCAGAGCCCCCTCGAGTATGAAGAGCTACGTTCTATGGTTGTCAATCATTTCGAAGTGATTTAGCTAATAACCTTCTTGTTACTTGTCAACTTTGTTGACAACAGATAATTTAGAGATTTAGTTTGAATGCTTTGGTTCTTTCTCTACTGCACTCTGATGGCGACTCTTTTTATTTATGTTTTTAACCATGATTGTTTTGCGAATGACAGTGTTGTACATATTTATTGCCTAGACTCAAAACGGAAATCGGAGATGTGAGATGGTGAAATTCTTTTACTACATATGATCCAAGAGTCACTAAAGGTAGACAGGTTGGATTAGAGCCAAAGACTTTATAAGGTGAAATATATATTTGAGGGTAAAAACCCTTGTAGGATCGGTTCCAACAGTCTGATTGTGTCCCGAATGGGGAATTCAGTTCAATTTGTATTGCTTCCAAAAAAAGGTTGCCAGATCATGGATTCTACAGTTTGAACATCTGGAAAAGAAATAAAAGTTTCACTTACGAACTTCAAAATTGATTCGGAAAAACAGAAAAATACTCCTCAACAAATAGCTGCTAAAAGAAGAAGGAAAATTTGGGTGAAAATTGGTTGGTGCCATAGTTGTACATGGCTCTTATGAGTTCCAGCCCAAGTTGCCAAATATTGCCTCCCATTAAGCAAAACGGTACCCCCTGGTGACTGTCGTCAACGTTTGTTTTACCAGTCAATGTAAATCATTGTGGAAATTGTTTTTTTATACTTTTATTTTTGAAGAATTATGGAATGAAACACCTCATCTATCTACAAAAATGCCGCAAGGCCTCCTATACATAAGGAATACTACAGGTATGTAACTGAAACAAGGGCAAGAATGGATACAAGAAAGAGTGAATTCGTAGATTATAATTAGTCAAAAGCTTCTGCAACGTACTCTCCGTTAATTGTCACCTTCAATTAGCTCATAGACATTTGATTTTGCAGGTTTATTTGTTCATAGAACTTTGCAATAAATTGGTCAGCCTTCATATCAATAGGTTCATCACCAGGACAACTAATCTCCTCAGAGACCTCATAGCTCGCATATTCATCATCGGCACTCTTCAAAAAACTTCTCCTTGGAACATCATCATCATCAAAGTCAAAGTTAACTTGAGGTTTGATGCAGGTGATGTTAGGCATCTTGAAACGCAAGGAAGCAGGGCGATGCATCTTGACATGAATGATAGGGGTGTCATCAAAGGAAAACTCATAATGTAAAGCACCGGGACCAACACCGTATCCGTACCCATAGTCATTGGTATGACGGAGGCTTCTAATGTATTTGGGAAGCAAACGGAGATCGGCTATAAGGTGTCTGTTCTTGAAAATGCCACCTTTTCTTGCCCATAACAAGGCTAGGCGGAGAATGTTCCAAGCTCTACGACCAACCACTGATCTCTTCTTCTGCATTTTTGACCTTGTTGCAGCTGTGTTTTAATTTAAAGTAGAAGATAGCAATAACTATAATGAAAAGAAATGGCAGTGGCAGTACTGGCAGCAAAAAATGAGAACTTTTGGAGCGGACGTGTTTTGCAGGGGAGAGCCAGAAACTATGTATATACATACATGTAATTAACGCACAGCTCATAAGTTGGGAAATGAGAGTGAACTCAAAATTAATTAATTGCGCGGTTTGGTGGGAAATATGTCAAAAAAGAAACTGTAAAGAAAGAGTAGTGAGAAGCGGATGAAGTTGGGGTTGAATTGTTAGGGGGACCCAAAGCTGGCATAGCGAAGTATTGATTGTTTAGTACGCTGTTGGGCGGTGCAAACCTCTTCGTGAAAGACACGCCTTGTACGCTGCAAATGCAATTAGGGGGGAAAAACAAAGTTACTGACTCCATTTTCTTAATCACTACTTATTAATTGTATGTATTTTCGTATCAATTTATAGTTTAACTATGATAACTCCATTTTCTCAGTTCATATACATATCCTTCATTTTATTTTAAGTTTAACAAAAAATTTATTTTTGCCGCTACTCATCTATTATGAGCACTATATTATAGTGTTAATTAAGTATACATGACAATATGACATGCACAAAGATTTAGTTAAGAACGAGATGGTAGGAATCCCACTTTGACAGCAACTTTGTTTTATTTACTGTTTTTATTCCTCTAGAACTAAAAAAACGTAAATCTAATTTTTACATAAAAATGACATGTCTATTTTCATCAGGGAGACATTCTTACGGCACGCACAGACAATTTGTTTTCTTCTTCTTTTCTTTTAGATGGTAATTACGGTTATGTTCACGAAAAGTTAGACAGCTGCATCTTTGTCTAACGTTAGGTACTTAATTATGAGTACATTTTGCTCCAATCATGTAAGCCCAATTACTACCTTGACAGTTGTTGGCTGACATATATTTGGCTCCAAAATTGTGTTGAATTTCTTAAATAAGCACAAATAGCAGCCAGTTATATTTTTATTTATTTATTACTCTTAAAACACTACAAGAGGAGATCGACAAATTAAAAAAGAAATAATTTAAGTTTTTTTTACCATCATTTAACCATGGTCAATTGCAGTGGCGCACATAATTTTTTTCTCAATAGACATTAAGAATTGAATTTTTTTTGAATAAATTAATATACCAATAAGCGGTATCTTTTTTTTAAACTAATATTTTTATTTGATTTGTTATCTATATACACATATTTAATAAAATTGTTCATATGGGGTAAGGTGTATCCGCCAATGAAGTTGGCATGCTTTGATGTAAAATTAGGTGCGAGTAAGCTTTCTACCTAACAAGCCTAACAAGGAGGATAAATAATTTATACGATTATTTATATGACAGTTCCTTTACATGTAAATATTTTTACCCTCGATATATATAATTTAAATTCGAAAATGAAAAAGGTCATGGCTTGTCAAGGTCATTTTAAGCATTTTGATCAAAATCAATGATTAATTTAGGGCCCAATGTTGATACCTAGATATAATGACATTAATTGCTTAAAAGCATTTGTTAATTAGGTTTGTTTCCGGTGAAACTTTGCTTTCACCTTAGACTTTTGTTCTTTAAACAGCAAGCAAGTGAAGCAAAGTTTCCCCAATCCAAGTACACAATACGTACGTTCATTTTGTGGTTTTGAAATACACAACCATTATGTTGAAAATAGGCGGCTTAATTTGCCAATATTCTCTTTCTGCTGGTTCAAATTTAATTTTGATATAATTAAATGATGGCTTTGTTTGTCTTGTAGTAGGATGAGGCATGCTTGCGGTGATTGATTGAACTGAAAAGGAAAGATGTTGGAAAAAAAAGCGTATCTGTGGGGGAGTCAAATGAAGGTTCACAGCAGTACGAATACCAACATAATATTACAAATAATTAACAAACACTAAAAGATACACTATTGTTCACAAGCGAGCTAAAATTTGAAATTTATGAGTTCAGGATTTTAGTTCTTTTTAAGTTAATAAGTTTCAAATTAATAATCTATACATATTCAATAAAATTTTTAAGATAAAGATAACTACAAGGCTGGACTAAAGTTCTTAAGTTTGGTCGAACCCGTAGCATACACTCAAGCTCCGCCCCCTCTAAAACTGAAAATTAATGCTTTGTTTCCCCTGAAAAGAAGAATATAGTTTTATTGATTTTTGGTTTGTTGGAGGGAGAATATGCAGTTGATTTTGGGTTTTGTTCGGTTCTTGAAATGCAGCCCCACTTGGCCTGTAGGTGCTGCTGCTTCTTGTTTCCTGCCTGTTGCATGCTATGCTTGTAGTTTTATATTTGGGCAACATATTCCATATTTTTTAACCTTAATTTGCCGTAGACATATTCATGCTTGGAGGAGCATATTATCCACAAACAGTCTAGAAATTGTTTAAGAGCATAACAAATAATTCACACATATAGAGTGTTTGGATTTTCAATAGTACAAGTGTGGAAGAAAATGAATATCCCACATAAATTAGTGACTAACTTAATTTTTAGGCCACTTTTAAAAAGTGAGCTTTATTTCCCTTAATAATATATCCGCTGTATGTACATAATTATGTACATATATTAGGCAGTCGAATAGCAAACATAACATTTATCCCAGTGATGATGAAAAAGAAAAGGAACTATGGCCTACTAGTACAATTCTTAGTTTAATGTTAAACCTCTCAAGAAATTTTTATTTTACGCGTAAAAAATCTAAAAATAAAACACAAGAAACCCTTAAAGGCTAATGAAATTATAAAGGGATATGTTAGAACCATTTCCTAGAGGTCATTTTGGGCATTGTAGATCAAAGGGAATGATTAACTTAGGGACCCAGGAGGCCAGGACTGATGATCATGTGATTTTCAAAGCATTTGTTAGGTTTGATTTAGTTGAAACTTTGCTTTCACCCTAGATATTTTGTTCTTTAAACAGCAAGCAAGCTCAGCAACGTTCTCCCTTCCCGAAAACCTAACGTTACTAATTTATTGTCGGACAAAACAATGTGTTTTCTTTGGAAAGTACCTGTTTAAGCTTCATACATTGACGGAAATATTTACACACTTAAATTTCGAACAATAATTGTTAATTTAATAAAAATGATAACTAACATACTATAACATATTAAAATTCACTAAATTAGTAAAAGTATTTTTAGAATGAGAGCGTATATAACTCAAATCCTTAGAGAAGAGGCTACTTTGTTTCTAATTTTTCTATCTAGTTTACCTACAGTTCAACTATATATGTTGGCATTCTTGTCTTGTAGTAGGATTAGGAATGATTGCAGCGATTGATTGAGGAGAAAATGAAAGGTGTTAAAAGCGAATCTAAGGGGTCAAGTGAAGCTTCCCAGAAGTAGCGAGTACCAACGTCATAAAACAAATACGAACAAACACTAACGGATATACTAACATAAGTCAGTTACACTTGGAAATACTTTCTTTTTTCTTCAGGAAAAGAAGAAGATGGTGGTACTGAGTTTGTTTGTTGGAGGGAAAGTATCCGTCTGTATCCATCTACGCAGCACAGTTTTGTACGTTGTATATGCCTTCAAGATATACATTAAGAATAGAATCACACAATTATATTACTATTAATGTATACAACATGTGAACTCATACAAATAGCACTGTATATAAAAATTTCCTAGCCGCTGCTATGCCTGCCCATCTGTGTTATACTGGGGCACTATATTTCATTTTTTCAGCTTAAGCCATATTGGACTCATCTAAAACCTTATCGTGATTGAACTTAATTCGAAGGATCATTATATCCAGAGTAGTCTAGAAATTAAGACCATAGCCAACAATTGGCACTTATAGAGCGTAGAGATTTTTAAAAAGTGAAACCGCAAGTGCTTGAATACAATTTATTTTATAACTTTTTAGAGCGCTTTATAATATTCTCATAAGAAAAACCTAAGCTCATTCCCCTATTTCTCGTCAACGTTTGTTTTACCGGTTCAACAAGTGGAATTTTGATATTTTGGATAAAAAAAGTTTGAGCTCTCATGTTGCAGTGTGGAGTAGAATACTGAAGACCTCTTCTATATACAAAATAATCCGCAACGTAACGCATCTTATACAGAAAGAATACTACTAGCCAGTATGGAATTGAAACATGAATATGACATCCAAAAAGAATGAAAATTGGTGAGCGGAAAGCGCCTGCAAGTCTATGTCAATTTGCACCTTTAGTTAGCGAGCGTCTTCTCGTGGTATTCTAAATATGATTATATTTGTCTTTGCAGCTTTATTTGTTCATAAAACTTGGCAATAAATTCCTCAGCCTTCATATCAATAGCTTCATCACCGGGACAACTAATCTCCTCAGAGACCTCGCAGCTTGCATATGCATCCTCTTCATTATCACCATCCTCCCAGTTCAAGAAACTTTTCCTAGGAACATCAACTTGAGGTTTGATGCAAGGGATATTTGGTATCTTGAAACGCAAGGAAGCAGGGCGATGCATCTTGACATGAATGATAGGGGTGTCATCAAAGGAAAACTCACGCTCCCCATAATGATAATGTAATGCACCACCGTAGTTGTTGGTATGGCCGAGACTTTTGATATATTTTGGAAGCAAACGGAGTTCAATTAGGAGCTTGTTCTTGAAAATGCCACCTTTTCTTGCCCATAATAACAAGGTCAGGCGGAGAAGGTTCCAAGCTCTACGACCAACCACTGATCTCTTCTTCTGCATTTTCGACTTTTCTTGCATGGTTGCAACTGTGTTTTAATAGTAGAAGATAGCAACAACTAAAATGAAAAGAAATGGCAGCAAAAAATGACAAAGTGTATGCACTTTTAGAAGATCTCTTTTCCTTTTTGTTCTATTGGTCTTTATGAGTTAATGAAAGAGCTTTTGAAGTGGGTATGTTTGGCTGGCAGAAACTGGGAGAAGCTATATATATATACATGTAACGCACAGCTCACGAAGTTGAGAAATTGAGAGTGAACTCAAAATTAACTAGGCGGTTTGGGGTAAATATGTCAAATAAGAAATTTTAAAGAAAGTGAGAAGCGGAGGAAGTTGGGTTGAATTGTTAGAGGGATCCAAAGTGAAATAGTAATGATTTATTTGGTACGCTGTTGGGCGGTGCAAACCACTTCGTGAAAGACACGCCTTGTACGCTGCAATTAGGGGGAAAAGAACTTAATATAGTTACTAACACTACAAGAAACAATTTTTTTTTTAAATACAAGAAACTATAATAGATGCATAAGAAATGTCCTTGAAATAATTTTTTATGGTTTAATCATGGTTATTAGTATATATTTTCATATAAATTTATATTTTAACTATGATAAAATTAATGCAGTGTGGATTTGAATATAACTTATGGCGGATTAGTTATATCGAGAGTAATTATACTAAGATTGACTGTTTGGTTTGTTGTATTAATTCTGAAATTATCAATTTTACTGTTTTATCCTAAGATTATTATTCTATCCTCTAATAAGTGTAAATTATTTCGGTACTATTTTTAATCATGAGATAACTTATTCCAGAATTAATAACCAAACAATTAAAATTTTTATCCCAAAATTATTTTTGTTTATCTATCATACAAAAAAAACGACCCCTAAATTTATCAAAACAAGGCTTTGACAGTAGGAATCCCGCTTTGACAACCATTTTGCTATATTACTGTTTTTATTCTCTTTATTATATTTTATTGTTATAGAGCCGAGTGAAAATGAATCTCAAACTCGTAATTTATTCCTCTAGAACTAAAATAAACTTAAAATCCACTTTTCACAGGTTAAGACAGAGAATTATACGTCCTGTATATTTTCATCGGGGGAATTCTCACGACATGCACTTATTTTTTGCTTCTCTTAAATGGGAATTCAGGTTTATGTTCATGAAAAGTTTGAGTGCCAATTGTTGCCAGCTGCATCTTTTCTAACGTTAGGTACCTAATCATGAGTACATTTTGCTTCAATCAGGTAGCCCCAATTACTGCCTATTGACAGTTGTTGTCTGACACATATTTGGCTCCCAAATTCTGTTGGATTTCTTAAGCAGCCAGTTAAATTTTTATTTGTGTATTACTCTTATAATTTATTACTCTTATAATATTACACGAGGAGATCGGTAGCCATCATTAGTTATGATAAGTCGGTATGATTTGATGTAAAACCGGTGAGAAGAAATTTTTTTTACCCAACAAACCTAACGGAGAGGACAAATAATTTAACTGACACTTGCAGAACATGTAAATATTTAGAGTCCATAACCAAAATAATGCATTTTTGGATTCAAGACACAAAAATAGGTGAAAAAAAAAGTTAGTGACCAAAATACATATAGCGCCCTTTAAAAGGGCGTTATACTTGAATATGAAAAGACGGGTAAGTATAGCGCCGTTTATTAAGGCGCTATACATATTTTGTGGGCCCACCAATAATTATTCTGCGCTTAACTGACATAACAATAATTCAAATGGGTATAGCGCCTTTATTTAAGGCGCTATACCTCAAAAAATTCGACCTCCCAGATTGGGCATTGCCTTATTAAAAGACGTTAACAATTTTGCAAAAATTCATTCAGAAAAATTCTCAAGTCTTGTTAAATATTTCTTCGTTAAGTTGTTTTGCATTTTGTCATAATATCTGAAGAGCGAAAAATTAGGGTTTTATTATATTGAGGGGGGAGGGGGGGAGGTTGAGGTTGTGGTGGCGAATAACTCAGAAAGCTATAGTTTATCTCCACAATGTCATGTTAAGTTGCCACTTACAATGGAGTATGATAGATTGGTATCGTTGTTATGTAAAAATATGAGTGTGAGCAAACGTTCGATGAACCTTAAAGTAACCGAAAGATATCCATATTCTGTCACTCCGCAAGGGGTTGCTTGTTATGTTGAGTTTAACATAGAGGATGATGAAACTCTGAGTGATTTTTTGAGGACTCCGGATGAATATCGGGAATTTCTTTTGATAAAAATGTTGGAAATATACGTCAAGGCTGAAGACGTTCGCAATAATAAGGTTGCGCAAAGCAGGGATATCCCTCAGTCATCGGGTGATTATTTTGGAGCAGTTTTAGCCGAACAGGTTCCGGCTGAAAGAGTCTGGCCTGATCTAAACTTATCTCCACGGGCGAATGAGGAGCGAGGAAATAATTTCTCTCATACTTTACATGATCCACAAGATGAGTGGTAAACTTCAATTTTCCTTTGTATTACGATATTTATTTTTGCTGTATTGAATTTGTATTAACACTCATATATTCCACAGAGGGTACCGGCCATATATGAATTTTACAAGTTATGAACTAACGCCCAGTTGGAATATGCATAGTTCTGGTATGTTGGATCGTGGGGGTCCATCCGGGAGTCATCACCAACAGGATGATGTCCATCATGGGATGTCAACACATTACGATTTGTAAGTGAAGTGATATAGCTATATGTAAAGTATTTATCAATTTGAGTAACTCATTATTTTGTTAGTTGTGCAGTGAAAACGAGCTACTTGAACGTTCTGTCCTAACTCAATTGCCCGAAGATGACATATTTAATCGGGATATGGTAGATGCACAGAGTCAGGAAGAGAACAGTGATTATGACAATAATGCCGATGAGTCCGGAGATGACACACCCTTCCCTGATGAGGGTGATGATGAGGAGGAAGAGAATGCTGGACCTGATTTGACGAAGAAGCATACTCCACCCCCCGTTAGACCAAGAGTGTACGAGTCCCACGTGCCATTTCATTCAAGGGAGATTCCCTACCTTGATCATTTGCCAAGTATGCCGGATATCGATGCCCTCACAAGGGACACTGACGAAATTCGGACAGTAATGTGGGATAAGTCTAGACCAACGGTGCTGTCAAAGGGCATGCTTTTTCCTGATAAAGCGCGCCTAACCAGGGCAGTAAAAATATACAGCATAAAAGATTGTCGTGAGATAACGGTATGGGAGCCAACTCCGGATGTATACAAGGTTGTTTGCCGTATATGGTTTACCGGTTGTAATTGGATGCTGCGTGAGAAGAAAAAGAAAATAAATATGTGGGTTGTGGGTAAATACATTGGCATCCACAATTGTGAAATGGACACATTCATTGGGAATCACTTTAACTTGGATGTTGACTTGATTTTTCTTGTCTTGATTCCACACATTGAAGCTTCCATAAGGTACAAGATCAAAGAGTGTATTACATCCGTCCACCAGGAATATGGGTGCACCATTACCAAAATAAAGGCATTTCTCGGGCGCAAACGTGCGTTTGAAATTGTTTATGGTGACTGGGATAAGTCATTTGCATCTCTACCCAGGTACATGGCCGCATTGCAACACTTTAATCCTGGGACTGTTGTTGAATGGAAGCTTGAGCAGAGTCCGGGAATACCACAATATATATTCAGATGCGTGTTCTGGGCATTTAAACCAGTAATTGATGGTTTTGTGCATTGCCGACTGGTAATATCCATATACAACACTCATGTCTATGGAAAGTATGATATTAACTTATTGATCGTCGTTGCAGTAGATGCTAATAGAAGTATATTTCCCTTAGCTTTTGCTATTTGTGCCAATGAAAGCCAAGAGATGTGGACACTATTTTTGAACCACTTGAAAGAGCACGTTATCAAACAGCGTTCAGGTATTTGTCTAATATCTGATCGGCATGGTGGTATTTTAAGTTCTGTACAGAATTTGCGTGCATGGCAGGAACCGTATGCCTACCACCGTTACTGTGTGAGGCACCTGAAGGCCAATTTCCAGAAGGCATATCCCAACAAGGATTTGCATGATTTAGTGTGGATGGCTGTAACAGATCACCAAGAGTATAAATTCAGGAGGCGTATGTAATCTATCAGGCAGGAAGACGAGGGAGCCTATCATTAGTTGATGTGACATGAGCTTGACAAGTGGACTTTGCATGCGGATGGTGGCAGAAGATGGGGAATTTTGACTACAAATGTGTCAGAGTCTTTCAATGGGTTATTGAAGTCTGCACGAGAATTGCCTATCACTGCCATGGTGCGGGTGTCATTCAAGCTTATGGCGGAGAGGTTTGTTGAAAGGGCTACAGGTGCATGATCATTGATGGAAATGGGTGTTGAATTTATGCCAATACCAATGAAAAGATTGAGAAATACAGAATGCGAGCACATTGGCATTCATTTTTGAAGTATTGCAACGAGCGAAATATTTTTGATGTTTGGACCGCTATCCATCATAACCGGGGGAATAATACACACACCGTAAATGAATCCAGAAGGTTATGCTCTTGTGGAAAATAGTCCATCTACCACATGCCGTGCTCACATGCTATCAAGTGCTTTCAACATACAGGTTTAGGGCCAACCAACTACGTTGATAAAGAATATAGTATTGCTGCATACTTAAACACCTATAGTGGGCAGTTGCAACCAGTGGGTGCTGAGCATTATTGGCTGCCGGAACCATTTAAAATGGTGTGTAACAAGAAGTTTTTGCGTCAGCGACAAGTGCAAAAAAGAACGTGTATACGGAACCAAATGGATGTTGGTGATACCGTTTATACACGCAAATATGGCATATGCTCGCAAACAGGATACAACCGTCGTAAATGTCCTTCAGCTGGTTTGGGTGGCGGTGGTAATCCAGCTCCTGGTGGAAGTTCATCTAATGTGCCCAACTATCAATGATACACATAGTGTTTTGTTTTCGTAATATGGTTGTAATAAGTGTATATACTTGATTATCCTGTAGAATGTATGAAATAAAATTATGTTTTCATTGCAGTTAAATTTTATTGATATTTAACATTAATACTTCAGTACAACAATCTAACATAAACCCATTTTTTTTAAAAAATAATTGTCTTGTTGACCTGAAAAAGCTGCTCGCCTGCAAAAGCTATCTTCTGAAAAAGCTGTATTGTACCCGAAAGAATCTTTAACATACGAAGCATAGCGCAGTTAAATACTATATTATATGTGTTGTCTTGTCGTCCTGAAAAGCTACTCACCTGCAAAAGCTATCTTC